GAATGCATCGGTCAGTGATTTTAATCATTATTTTAAATTAATTAAAATTTCGATTTACTATTTAATCCCAGAATCCGTTGTGTAATAACACAAACATTACAATCGATTCGGCATTTGTGGACATATTCTCTGATTTGGGATCAGATGTCATCACTTTATTCTCCAACACAACTGTCCATCAGTTGACTATTGATTCAAACGATAAGATCCGATACAATAGATCCATAACATTGAACGAGTGGTCAACCTTTGGTCTATCGATGAGCCCTATTATCGCTCCCATAACTTGTGTTTATTATATTCAATACGGAGACATCATTGTAGTGGAAAATGTGAGTTTAATATAAAACATGGTAAACATTAAATGTTAATTAATTAATGTGTTATCTATTAGAGCCAAAGTAGCATAATGTGGTATTTACGGCCAAATAAAGTGATGTTTAGGCAATTTAATTCATCCAACATTGTGTGCACTGATATTCATATGGAAAGTTTGGTTATTCAACCATTTGATTGGATTAAAAGTGTATTAAAGCGACATAAAACACATGAAGACATTGAATTTTACCTTGAACAAACTTATTGGGATAATATTGCCAATGATTGGCACAGAATTCCCACTAAATTTCTAATCCCAGAAATCAAAGGCAATGCGAATAATAAGTTACCCATCGATGAGATTAAGGCATTTTTGAATGAAACGACGGCCGGCTTTGCATTCAATGATTATCTCTATTTGTTTGCCGGCAATCGTGTCTGTCGTATGAATAACAAGACTTTTCAGTTGGCAGACAATTGTTTGAATCAAACCATTGATCAATGGATTTGTGGCAAAGACTACGACCCCATCGAAANGTGGCAAAGACTACGACCCCATCGAAAGCAGTGACCATAAAGTAATAATTATTGTCACATTAGTAGTCGTTATTATGATTTGTATAGCAATTCTTATAGCAATGATTGTATACCAAAAGTATTATAAATTGTCGACAAAAGATAAAATGTCATCCAAAACTGATTTACAATCTTTGGATAAACTATCGGTTAAAAAGTCTTCAAAACCATCGATGTCTGTATCAGTTAGTAAGAAGACACCAATTAAGTCATAATTGTTGTCCACTTCAACGTCTGCTCATTAATGGACTCTCGGATCAGATAAAGAAACAAACCATCGATGGATAGAAGACGTGAAAATAAGACATAATTTTTTGTAAAACTTATTTGTAAAAATGTTATATTTTTTCAATATATTTATTTAATTGCTAATTCAATATTTGTAACTATTTTGTGTTTTCTAGTTATACTAAAAGTTTATTTTATTAAAATTTGTTGAAATTATAGTTAAAATTATAGTTATAATTAGAGATTATGACAATAAAAACTTCTTTCTAATGTTGTGTAATATGTTTAAAATTTTTAAACAATGCATTTATCATCAATAATGATTCATTATACTGTTGCCAACGGTATTATACATTTAAACTGTTTTAATTATTAATCATTTATTTATTTATTTTTATAATAGAGTTAATGAAAACATTGTTTAAATTCAGTTTAAATTTCATTTTATGTTTTTAATTCATATCAGAAATTGTAATGATTTTAGTGAACATTTCTGTTGACTTTAGTTATAAACTCTAAACAAAAATGCATTTAATTTCGAGAGTTATTGTATTTTTAACACAAGTATTGATTGTATTGAATGAATCGGTCAATAATTTTGTGATGAAATTTAATTTAACTTTAATTGAAATTAATTTAAACATTTAACCATAGAATCCATTGTGTGATAATCCAAATATCAGAATTGATTCGGCATTTGTGGACAAATACACTAATTGGGGACCAAATGTGGTCACTTTGTTCTCCAACACAACCGTCCATTTAGTGTCTGTCAATACCGGGGATCAGATGAACCCAATCTTCCGACACATTGGATCCATACCACTAAACGAGTGGTCACCAGATATTGTCGGTCCCATTCATTCCATATACTATATGCATAGAACAAACATCCTGGTGGCAGAAAATGTAAGTGCAACTTATAATTGCTTTAAATAAATGCATAATAATTGTCAATTTAGTGGGAATCAGGCATTGCATGGAATGTGTGGTCACAAAATAAATTGTTTTCACATATAGGGCCGGTAAACAGAACCGGTGTAACACAACCGCCTATTGTGTTTGAAAAGTTTACAACCAATCCCTTTGATTGGGTTAAAAGTACTTTATATCACGACAAATACTATCGCATTGAAAGAATTCATGGTTTGGGAACTATGAAGAAGTCGTATAATAAATATTATCTGATCCTAGAGCTCAAGAACAGGACCAACAATAGACTGTCCATCGATGAGATCGAGAATTATTTGAATGAAACGACGGCCGGCTTTGCATTCAATGATTACTTCTATTTGTTTGCCGGCAATCGTATCTGTCGTATGAATAATATAACACTTCATTTCGATGACAATTGTTTGACACAAACCATCGCTCAATGGATTGGTTGCGAAGACAATAACTCTGGCATTAAAATAATATATATTGTGATATTAGCGGTCATTTGTTTGGTTATAATAGCAGTGATTATAGCGTTGATTAGCATCAAAAGGCGAGCAAAGTTTTCAATTAGTTCACAGCGCAGGTATAAACCAGTGGCCAAACCTATTGCTGTGTCAAATGCTCATGGTCACAATGATGGTCAAAAACAAGGGACAGTCTCATCGGACACCGAATCCGATGACCAAAATCACAATTCGTTGAAAAGTGGACCGAAATCTGTGTCTTTGAATGACAACCGACCGACAGATATCAGGGTTAAGAGTAATACAAAGTTTGTTAAGTAATGGACTCTAAGATAACTGAAACTTAATCCATTTGAATGAATTGTTTGAACCAAGTGTTCATAGTTTTATATAATATTTAAAATATATTTTCAATTATTATCTATGCATTATTAATGTCAATAATTTCTTTCATTTTTATAATTCATATAACTTTTAATAACTTCAATTGCTTTAAATGTAAATTAATTATTAATTACAAAATCATACTTTTATTAAATCACAAATCAAATAAGTGTTTCAATAATAGTATATGTTATATAAATTGCATGAATAATAAACCAATTAAACAATACAAACATTTTTCTGTATTAAACATATAAATTTAGTGTTGCCAACGGTTTTATATTTATATGTAAATTGTACTTTTGAATTGATTTTATTGTAATTTAATTATTCATTTCTCTATAATAAAGTGAATAAAAATATTGATTAAATTGAATTAAAATTCAGTAAATTTAAAAATTTATTAATTAACAAAACACTGAACAAAAATGTATTTACTTTTAACAATAGTTGTGTTTTCAATACAAGGATTAGTTGTATTGAGTGAATCGGTCAGTGATTTTGTGTTTAAAAATTCAATTATATTTTCAATCATATATTTAACCACAGAATCCTATATGTAATCCGGACTTAACCATCGATTCGGCATTTGTGGACAAATACTCTGATTTGGGATCAGATGTCATCACTTTGTTTGCAGACAACACTGTCTATAAACTGTCTGTCAGTGCAACGGATCCATTGAACCCAATCTTTAGATACAACGGATCCCAACATTTAAAAGAGTGGGCGAAAGGCATCGCCGGACCCATTAGTGATGTGTATTACCAAAAACGAGGGGAAATAATTCATTTAATAAATGTAAGTTTGAAATGAATACATATTTAAATCATGAAATTTTTACCAAATTTTTACAATTATTGTCCAATTAGTACAAAATAAGTTACAGTTATGATTTGTGGTCACACAACAAAACTATAAAGTCTATTAATAATCAAACATCAATTAAGTCAAGACATATTACAGTGGAGAAGTTGATTATCAAGCCATACGAAAGGACACAAAGTAAGATATATTACGACAAAGACATCACCGTTGGAACCATTTATAATAAAGGGTCTGAAGTGGCTATAAATGAATATTATCTGATACCTGAACTCAAGAATAAAACCCACAATAACCTGACCATCGATGAGATCCGGAGTTATATGAATGAAACGACGGCCGGCTTTGCATTCAATGATTATTTCTATTTGTTTGCCGGCAATCGGGTCTGTCGTATGAATAACAGGACTCTTGAGTTTGCGGACAATTGTTTGAATCAAACAATCGCTCAATGGATCAGATGTGGAGAAATGGAAGACAAGACTTTCCCATGGCTTATGATTATCATAATATCCGTTACTTTAATACTAATATTGATGACAGCATTGATGGCGTGTCTTATGTATAGAGTTATGACCGAAGAGGAGGAGGACATCACATCTAAGCCAGAAGTTTACACAAAGTATAAAACAGTGGATCAAAATGTAGACACTTTGCAGCCAAGAGTGTCCACAACATCATTATCTTCGGCATCGAGTGATAACAGACCCACAGAACTGACAATTCAGAGATCAAATGTCTAAGAAGTGATCATTTTATGCATTAAACAAAATAAACTCTTAAACTAGACATTTTTTAATTTCGTTATCTATTTTAAATTTGAGATTAATTTTTAATTTAATTTATTATTTATGTTTTATTCTTTATTTATTTGTCTAAGAGTCTAAGAGACCAACAGAACTGAAGATCTTTTCATAATTGACAGACAAATCATATGTCGGATCAATTAAAACCCTAACTACAGATAAGAAGACTGAAACTAAAACTAAATGTTGTAATTTTTAAATTAGAAAATTTCCTGAATTATTTTTTTAATTCAATTGTAATTGTAATACAAATACTATTAGTTTTATTTATACAATATTAAATTTAAAACCATTGATTAAAACACAAATTTACTTTAGAAATGGTTTATAATTAAAATTAACAATTTTATTGCCAAAAAATGTTTAAATATACTGTATGTTACAAATAATGAACGATTGGTATATATGATTATAAACATTAAATAAACTAAATATATATCAATTAAATATACATTTATCACTAAATCTTCGCTAATAATTCACCATATTTTACCCGCTGTCCGGCCGACACATGAAACTCCATGCCTACGGGTGCTTCAAATATGAGTACAATAGTTGAGCCTAGGTTAAATTCACCAAAATCACCGCCTTTAACCATATCTACCCTATCAGTAAACCCTCGGTCCTGATAATCACCGGTTGTCCACTGCCTCTCATTTGTCACCAAATCCTAAACAATAAGATAAAACAACATTAATTTATAATCATCATTAAAAAACATCTATGTTGTCTTAGATCTCTCTCTCCCTCTCTCGCAATCACTCCCCACCTTATATATCAATGCAAAACCAGTGTATACCTCATCGAAATAGACCCGAACCGTTCCGACAGCTGTGGCCCCGACCGCCGTCATCGAGAAGTAGCCGTACGGCCAGCGACCGGAATAGACTACCCGTTCATTTAAAGTAAACAACTGGGGAAACAGTCGGACAACGCCGGGGTTAACACTCAGCAGGTGTCCGGCAAAGTGGCGCCTGTAGTCGACGGACCAGTCGGCCGGCGAGTGAAACCTATGATAGTCACCCGGCGATAGGTATACCACACACGAGTAGAGGGCTGTCGGGTTGGAGGGGCTGTTGTTTAATAGTAGTCGCCGCTGATAGTCAATTGGACTGTCCTGAGTCGGGCACCAGATCTGGGGGCCCAAGAATTTCCGCAATGAATAGGTAATACCCTTCACCTGCTCTATACGCCCGTCCCATACCTGTCCAAAGTGTAGTACTGTGCCGTCCGCTGGGCTTACCTATAGTTAATGAATGTGTAAATAGGTTACAAATGATTATTTGATTATAACATAAATTATGGTGCAATTACTTACCACACCGGGCGCCGGGTGGATAGGTCTGACCCCAGGCCTTAGGGAACGGCGGAAAAATTCGCTCAAATTTTTATAATTAGTTAAATCCGTGTCCAGGGCTTCGTCTAAATTGCATCCAAAACTCTTGATATAACCATTAATTACCACTTTTCTCATAGAGACGGGTAATGGGATTGAGTTGATTTGGCCCCAAATGCGGGACATTGTCCTCAGCGGTAGTAAACAGTATAGAGATATCTGATAACAAATAATTATGGTTATATATTAAACACCATATTTAATTTTTAACGTGTTAGAAATTAATTATTACCTCAATATCCGACACATAATGATTAACTCTATGAAGTTTTGTCTCGTTTATTGTGTGAAAATTAAACTCGATGTCTGTTTTTGTGCCAAATAACCAGTGATTTTGTTTGTACCGATTGTAGGCGAGTAGAGTGACCACAATCACTGATGTCAGGTATAGTGAGTTGAAAAAGTCCAACGCCTCCCTGTTTAGGGGGTTTGAGGGTAAAATACCCCGTTTTCTGGTCAATGACGACCATAATGAGTCTAATAAACATAATGTTTTATGAAAAATTAGTTTAGTAGTCTTTACAAAAATAACAATTTAATTATTTATGTAATAGATGTTGACATACCTTTGGATAGTTGTTTGAGTTGTGACTTTAAACCATAATTATCACGATTAAAATTGTCAACACTTGTCGTGTGGTGACTAAACACCGGGGGTAGTGATACACCGGCAGTGTCTGTCCATATGGAGCCGTCCTTTCTGGTAATAAAACAACAAAAAGCAATTATTAATTAAAATAAAACTCAAAAAAAATTTATAACTATTTGTAAAACTTTAAAATAGTTAATTAAATAACATCCGGATATTATCGGCTATGAGTGCACACACCTGTTAGACAACCCGTGAATGTGGCGATTAGTTATGTGTGGAAACAGAGTTAACAATAAAATCAATAGTTTTATACCGAAATCACACATCTCTGGACAAAGAAGGTGTGGAACGGGACGGGTATGTAATAAA